CGGAGGGTGATGTAAACCCACCTAATCGGGTCTAACTTCTGTAGGGGCCTGTTTACACTTGGTTTTATGACGCATTCTGGTCGATCGGATCACACGTACATGGGAGAGAATCATTCTCGTTTACACCTGGTGTTTTAATCCATTTCTGTTGTCTATGGGCAGGTTATGTCATACAACACCAGCAGGAGGGTTACAGAACGCTGTGCAATTCTAAACAAATCACTGTATATATGAACAAACCAATTATACTCAATCAAACTTCATCAAACCAATGTATTTAAACCAATATATAATTGATCAAACAAATGTATCCAAACTAATTCTGTACACGTCACATCATCACTGCCTCCATTGTTTTCTCCTCTCAGGTGAGCTCAGATTGCAGATGGTGCCATGTGTGCGCATTATCCATATGAAATGTCACATTACAGCAGTGCACAGACACTAAGTTTTAATTTATTCATGTAAATAAAGCTTATATTCTTGTGATAGTGTTGGCCATTTGCTCAGCCCCATTATCATCCTATACAGAGAAGAACTGACAGTGGAGGAACACAAACACACATACACACACATACAGATGCATTGGGTTTACATGTTTTATGGGGCTTTTCTACTGTACAAACTGTATTTTATATCCCCTTACCCTAAACCTACCCCTCACACAAAACTACAACACTTTCTCTCTCTTTTCTTCACTGGGGACGGATCCAGGACCGCCAGGACAGCTTCATCAAACACCATCTTAAGGCCCTTCTGTGTTAATGCTGAGCACTTCAGGTACTTCACAGCTCCTATTCGTTCAGCCACAGCCAGGCCTTGATGATAGGTGATGGGGGTTTGTTTCTTCTTTTTCAGCTTTTCAATGGTGTCCTTGTCGTCTCTCAGATCAAGTTTAGTCCCGACTAGAATGATCCGAGCGTCAGGGCAATGATGCCTGACCTCTGGATACCACTTTTCACTAACATTTTCTAATGAGTCTGAATCCACGAGAGAGAAACAGATCAAGAACACATCCGTCTGAGGGTAAGAAAGAGGTCGAAGTCTGTCGTAATCCTCCTTTATATCCCCTTACCCTAACCCTAACTCTAAACCTGCCCCTTACACAAAACTACAGTCCGTATAATTTATAAGCTTCTTCATGGGGACCAAAAAAAAAATGTCCCCACAAGGTCAAAATTATTACTATTCTGGACATTTGGACCCCATAACGTAGGAAATACCAGGTAGACACTCTCTCTCTCACACACACACACACTCAAACACCCCTGATATCGTTTCCTAATTCAAAGCTTTTCCTGTAGAGTGCGTTTCACTTTAGCGGAAACACATCAGCATTTGCGTTTCTTTCCTATTGATCACACCTGAACGGACAGAAGAAAGGACAGAGGTGTTTGTTGATTTCAAGACATGTTATAAATTCTACTTGAACAGGAAGGACTCTTTAGTTTTTTTTTTTAATCTGCCAAAGAAACACAGATTATCGTGAGAACGCTGTGAACAAGGGAAAGCATTAAGAATTATGCATTGTTTTTCCTGCTTACCCTGAGAGAAAACAATATGCCTGTAAAAAATAAGATGCATTATCCATATGAAATGTCACATTACAGCAGTGCACAGACACTAAGTTTTAATTTATTCATGTAAATAAAGCTTATATTCTTGTGATAGTGTTGGCCATTTGCTCAGCCCCATTATCATCCTATACAGAGAAGAACTGACAGTGGAGGAACACACACACACTCACACACATACAGATGCATTGGGTTTACATGTTTTATGGGGCTTCTCTACTGTACAAACTGTATTTCATATCCCCTTACCCTAACCCTAACTCTAAACCTACCCCTCACACAAAACTACATTCCGTATAATTTATAAGCTTCTTCATGGGGACCAAAAAAAAATGTCCCCACAAGGTCAAAATTATTACTATTCTGGACACTTGGACCCCATAACGTAGGAAATACCAGGTAGACACTCTCTCTCACACACACACACACACACACTCAAACACCCCTGATATATTTTCCTAATTCAAAGCTTTTCCTGTAGAGTGCGTTTCACTTTAGCGGAAACACATCAGCATTTGCGTTTCTTTCCTATTGATCACACCTGAACGGACAGAAGAAAGGACAGAGGTGTTTGATGATTTCCTGCTGAGCATTTCCCATTTTAACAAATAGTAGAAGAAAACTTTGTGTAGTACTTTATACACTTTAGTAACACGAATGGCGGAACGTTCGAAAACATATACAATTGATGAAAAACATGTCTGACTATTGTATTGTATTTATATTATTTTTATTGTATTTTAGTTTTTTGAGAGAAAAACGTTATTTCCTTAAAAATATAGTCTAATATTATACAAAAACACTATACTTTTGTTGATAATAACCTGAGGATGTTGTCTAAGATGATGAAATCCTAAAGACAAATGCAAACTCTGAAACCCCTGCTAAAAACAGCTTATGCATAACATTGTGTGTTATGATGTTTATTTTCTACATTTTTATTGCAATTGTAATTCACTTGATAAATGGTTTGTTTTAAGTGCTACAGACTTATGTCAGATTCTTATTGAGTCACCGATGCTACAGCAGCACTTCAAAAACACTTTGCTGTGATCAAAGTAATATTGTTGAAATTGTTTTCTGTGGATCTCATTATTTGTGCAGCAAATCCTCATCACGCTTTTCTCATATTCACACATTTGGATTTTTGAGTTGTTCAGACCACTATTGCGTACCTGTTCCAGAATTAGTTTTCCAATTTCCAGAAAATGTCCTTGTTTTGAACATTTTTCTTTGCTTTGTCAGTTTTGCAGAATAGGTGTGTTAAGGTGACAAGGTTACATTCTTTGAAAGGTTTCACGCTGATTGATGCAGAAAGAGGCAAAGCAATGCAGAGAAAGAAGCAGGTACACATTTAGCGTTCATGAGGAAACATCTGACGTGTCCTTCCTCTGTTTGGTCTCTGTTTTCATCATTTCACCTCTGATGGATGAGAGAATTACTGAAACACTGTAAAACAATTCTGTTTTTACTTCATTTAGTCACATTACTTTTGTAAAACATTCTTTTGTTGCTTTTCTGTTGTTCTTGCTTGATTTATTGTAAATGTTCAGATCAATATTCTGATCTGGAATCTATAATGATATTTTATCGATGTTATGTATAAGGCATCAGCATCCAGGAATCTTAAAGTCAAGGGCTTTCTTTAGCTTTCGGACAAGTGTCAGAGGACCAGAGACAGCATGACAAAAAGTATGAATGCTTTCTTCTCTCTTTCTATCCTCAGGAGTAAGAAATGACACACATAAATCATTGTGTTTGTTATGCACTAGAACAGAAAGAGACTAGCAGTCTAGATATTTAAGCCAGACAGGCAGACAGACACACCTCTGATGGTTGAGGATTTTCTTGTAAATCAGTGCTGTTCCTGTAAGAGAATCTCTCAGTGTCTAGTTACAGTGTTTTTCTGCCAGCCCAGTTGGACCAGTTTTACATGCTCTGTCAACATGTAACTACCACAAATGTTACATGTATTGAGAGGTTTTTGCCTGTAATGTAAGAACAGTAGAGGACAGACAGGAAAGTAGGAAGGAGAGAGGATCGAGTCCTGATAGAGATCAGACTCAAACATGCACCCTGAACATAATAAATTACATAAGATTTTTTTCAAATATAGAATATATAGATATATTATTTTCAAATAAAGAGAAGACATGTCAAATAACTGCATTTATAAACACTGGAAAACAAACTTTACTGACCGGTTTGTATTTTTCATATTTAGACCAGATATAAAGATCCATTACACAGCTGCATTTGCATCTTGTTGAATTGTGCATCTCAAATCTGTCTCCTGCCGTGAGTCTTTGATTTATTGCATACATTATGACAGTGTTACTGCATGTTGATAAAAAGAAAAAAAAGAAAAAAATGTACCTGCACTTTTTTCTTAGTATAATTCAATTTTAACTTCAGCAAGATGTAATTTGTCAGATAGTTTGTGAGCATGTTTTGCTTTCAGATCTGTCAGTCATGTTTTGTTTTGTGCCATCTGTATTGAACTTTGGTATCATTTCCTATCATTTATATGCAACAAAAATCAGCTTGCCTATAACCTGTGCAAATGAATGTAAAATGTTGTTATAGATAAACAACTGAAATGACAGTTGAATCTTTTTTCTTGGTCTCATGTTTTGATTGGTTGAGCTGTCTGTGTGACGTGCACACACAAGTGTGTGATATAAAGTTTTCACTTCAGTTTGAGTGACAAAACCCATTGCGTGCTTACAAATAATGATAACAATAATAGCAAATAAGAGATTGAATGATTCACACCTTTCTGATAACAGAAACAAAATGAGCGAAAGAGGTGAGTATCTACAGGTTTCCAGCATTGCATAACCTAGCAATAATATATAGGTACATTTATTCTCTAATATCTATAAAAATATCACCTCGCAGTACCTCTAATTTCAAAAGAAGATGACATTTATGTGGCAGGTAAGACCCATTCTGTCATTTCTCTTATCAGTTATTTTTAAGTAAGCATATGGCTGCGAAAGAGTCAGTTTCATTTCTGCCAGTTAAAATTCAGCGTCTGGGAAGTTTGCCTCATTATAAATCAACACAAATAAATATAAAAAAAAAATGTATTAATGTAGTGTGAAATTTCATATACACTATGATTAAATTAACTTTGAATGTTGCTCTTTTTCTGCACAATTACAAATGAAACAATAAAGTATAAATGTACAAATGTGTTTGGAAAACAAACATGTTACAGCCTGCTGCAGTCGCTCCGCACAAAACAAACACACACACACTCACAAAACATTTTTTTTTTTTTACGTATAAATGCAGAAAGGTTTCTGTAAGGGTTGGTTTGATGGAATGTAACATTTGTACAGTATGAAAACCATGTCTATGGAGTGTCCTCATAAAACATACAAATCCAACATGTATGTGTATATACTTCTGAAAGTCATATTTGTAATGCTAGAATAAAGTATCATTCAAGATCAGTTACATTTCTGAGCAATGTTGATCTGTTACAAATGAAGTTCACTGTGATTTTAGAAATAGAAACATCTACTGCAATTAGACAAATTAAAAAGACGTCCCTGAATCTGTCTCGACTAAATCAGAGGCTCGTGGGAGGACACAGAAAACTACAGAAGACAACACAATGATCCAGTGACGGCTTGATTCAAAAATTCAGATCTCAGTCATGATTATTTTTAATCATGAAGAGATGACTGACTTATAGCGATGAGATGTTCCAGGAAGCTCAGAGAAAGAAACTTCAGAGAAAGTTCTGTAAGTGTGTTCATGTCTTTCTTTGTTTTAAAAACATATTATCGCAATTATATAAACAGCAGAGCAAGAAAAAAATCTGTTCAGGTTATGCATATGTTGTCTTGATGAGTCCTGCACCATAGCATGCCCTGATTGCTGTCAGTCAACACAGAATCCAGTTCAATTTCAGATAAGTTCTGTTTATATAAACCCTAAACTTTGTCATCAGATTCTCTCAGATTCATTTAGATGTGCATTGCATGTATTCCAATCACAATGTCAGCGCAAATGCATTTACATTTAATCTTTTAGCAGACGATTTATCCAAAGCGACTTACAAATAAGGACAATCGAAAGCAATCAAACCAACATATACGATGTGTTGACCGCCGCATTCAGAAACAGAGAAAGCCATTGCAATAATGTCACTGTTAGCTTAACTTTCATTTTTGCCTGGATTGTATATATATATATATATAAGTATGTCAAAGCTTTTTTGCAATCATTCAGTAAATATTCAGCCTGTACACTGACCAGTTCATAAGATGTAAATAAACCCATGCCGTTCATAAGATGTAACCCTAAATAACATAAACCACTGTGCACATGCACAATATTTATTTATTTTTTATCTGATTGAGAATTAGGGTCGAAAAAAACAGAAATAAATTCTTGAATTCAGATTTTTAAATTACATACTAATATTGCTATTATACTATTTGAATTTTAAAGAATTTCAGATGAGGTAAGGGGAAACTATATTCTTTTGCCTCAATTAAAGGCTTGTCTCCCAAGCCTTTGACGAAATATGGCCAAATCAAGCACCTGGAACCGTCTGTGCCAAGTGTGCAAATGCACAGCGCCTGGATTATTAGGTTGCATGGAAATGTATATCTGTTTCATTTGTATGTTGTACCAAAATAATTAATTCTATTTAGTTTACTTGTTTTAATGTCTGGATTTTAATAGTGCCGTTTTATTTGAAACTTTGATTGGCAGGGTCTGGGAAACCAAGGATTGTGATGCTGGGTAAAACTGGATCAGGAAAGACCAGTGCAATAGAAACCATTATGTGACAAGAGAGTTTAGAGAGAAGAGATTTGACAAATACTGAAACCTGTGAGCAACAAGAATAGCAGATATCACTCGCTCACCAATGAAGACATGGAGAACCGCTCTCAGGTCACAGAACTGCTGGAGAAGATTGAGAAGTTGGCAGAGGGAAAAGGATGGAAGTACTACACAAATGAAAAGTTTCAGAAAATCATAGAAAGAGATGTATATTTGGAAAACATTAAAGAAACACTACATAAAGTTGCGTTAGGAGTTGGACCATAGGAGCAGCAGCCATGGTGACAGATATA